TATTTTAACCCCAATCTTTTCATCATGTTAAACATTACCTTCCAATTTACGTTATCAAATGCTTTTTCGATATCCACAAAAGCTATAAATGTTTGTTTGTCTTTCCTAATCCTTTTTTGAATGATTATCCTTAACGCCAATATTGCTTCTCTCGTTCCCATATTCCTTCTAAACCCGAATTGGTCTTCTGTCAATGATTGTTCTATTTTACCTTCAATACGTTTGAATATAATCTTTGTTAGTATTTTAGAGGCATGGGATAGCAAACTAATAGTACGGTATTCTTCACATTTCTTTGTTGCTGTTTTCTTTGGGATGGGGATAATTAGGCTCTTTACGTAATCTTCAGGCAATTCACCGGTTTCGTATATGACTTTGTTAATATGAAATAATTCCCTTTTAACTTTTTCTCCCGCCTCCTTTCAAAGTTCCAAAAAACAACTTCTTATGTTCACGATTCGTAAGTTAACAAAATCAAGGAATTAAAAAAAAAAAATTATATACAAATATTCAAAAATTTTAGATAAATTTTAAATAATAATAAAATAAGTTAAATATTTTAATGCTCTATTATAAATTATTTGTAATGAATTGAAATAGAAACTTCTAGAATACTTTTTCCTGGCAACATAAATATTATCAATTTTAAATATTTTTCCGACTGAAAATTATTATATTACTCATTACAAATATATCGCGGAACCATATTTACAGTAATGTCAATCTTTTTTTTTTAATTAATTAGTATAAACTTATTTTAATGAAAACTAGCCTCTCTTTATCCACGAGTTTAAAATAAAAGGGCTAGGAAAATTAGCACATTAGCACACTCGTACATTCATTTTTTCATATTAAAGTTAATAATATAAAATCCACGTTACTCTAGTCAATTATAAATATAAGTCTTTCAAATTTGTTAAATCTACTTGCGATAAATAATAAAAAAAAGACGCATAATCAGCTATACACAGTGTCAAGGGTGGGGAGATGAACTATGACCACTGATTGTGATATTGATAGGTGAACGGCTGAAATTGAAAGAGATACTAGTGAATGCTATCCTAGAGAAGAGCGCGATGCTGTGTNTGAACGGCTGATATTGAAAGAGATACTAGTGAATGCCATCCTAGAGCAGAGCGCGATGCTGTGTAAAGTTTTAAATGGACGCGCGAGCAATTTGGATGCTTTGATATGGATTGGCTATGTATGATGATTAAGAAAAATAAAAAGCATATTGTTAAATTAAAGTATTAATTTATTTTTATTAAACATTTTATATCGAAACTGACATATGTTACTCTTAGCTGTCTCTTTTCGAAATTTTACTAAACATTATTATCAGAAAAAAAATGTATATAACACTTTTGTTATTAAATTAATCAAAAACTATTGTGAATTTTTTATTATTATTTTTTTTATAGTTACTTTTAGATATAATATACTTATTCAATAAATTAATTCCAGTTAATATTTTCAAAAATAATGTGCTATAAATAAATGTAATAAAAATTAAGATATTTCAACAGAACATTAATCAGGACAGCCATTTTTAGTAGCATAGTTAATTATATCAGTATATCCCATTCGAGTAGCTTCAGAAATGGTACCGCTACTCCATGAACAATTATTTTCATAAGCATATTTTAAGCAACCAATTTGACCATTTGCAGCAGCAAATCTTGTTGTACCTTCGTCCCACTCACAATCATTTTCATGAACATATTTTAGGCAGTCTAAATTGCCATTTGCAGCAGCTCCACTCATAGTTCCTACATCCCATTTGCACCCATTATTATGTGCAAATATCAAACAGTTAATATAATTATTCGCAGCTGCTTCCCTTGTTGTGCCTTCGTCCCACAAACACCCATTTTCACGAGCATATTTTAAGCAGTTTAAATGTCCATTTGCTGCAGCCCCTCTCATTGTACCTTCAACCCAATTACATCCATGTTTACGGGCATATATTAGGCAATCTAAATTACCATGCAAAGCTGCTGCAGCTATAGTGTCTTTGTCAAAATTACATTCCTTTTCATGAGCATATTTCAAAAAGTCCAAATAGCCACATGCTGCAGCAGTTCGAGTTGTGCCTTCGTACCATTTACAACCATTTTCATAAGCATATTTTAAACATTCTAAATTACCGCTA